TCGGTCAGACTATTTTTGCCCTCGCCCCGACATTGAAGGGGCGGCGTGTCGACATTGAGGGGCGCGCCGAAATCGAAATGACGTGCCAGCAACTGTTGAGGTTAATTTCGACGAGGGCAATAGAATGGGCACTAGCCGTCTTCGTACTCATTCTTTCCGTATCCGTTTCCGTGGGCGAGACTGCACATATCCGTACGTCCGCGGCCTCGCGGCCCAGACCCCTCGGACGGGCCCCCGCGGGTACGGAAGCTTTGTTCGCGGACGCCCCGCGCGCAACTGTACGAGGGTAGTAGGAACGACGACTGCGACGCCAGAGGGACGGATGGGGAGACACGCAGCCCGCAGAGCAAGGCTTTGACGCTTCGCTCGCCCCGCGGCGCACGACTGGTCTATACAGAGCAGCAGGGGGAGGGTTGGTATGATCCTCCTCCTCCTCCTCCTCCTCCTGAACCGCGGGCGGTCGTGTCGTACTTTGCACTCCGCTCTCCTCCCTCCTCCCTTCTTCTCGTCCCCTTTCCATCCTCTCATTCACACACACACACACACACGCGCGCGCGCGCACGCACCTCCCGTTTTCCTCCATCGGCCAAGTGACGTGACTGCAGCGAGAGCTACGACGAGGCGCGCTCAGCGTCAACTCCCCCTGACGTTGCGAATGGGTGGACTGCCCACACACAAACCCATCGCGCGTCGCCTGACCCTTCTTTCCCCACGCGAGAACTTGGACTGGTCATTCGCTCATTCATTCATTCATTGATTCAGGGGCGCCTGGAAAGTTCCAGGCGGAACTGCGCTCGCCTGACCTCCGTGAGCTTCTTCCTCCTCTTCCTCCTCTTTCTCCTCTTCCTCCTCCTCCTCCTCCTCCTCCTCCTCCTCCTCCTCCTCCTCTTTCTCCTCTTCCTCCTCCTCCTCCTCCTTCTCCTCCTCCTCCTCCTCCACGTCCTCTCTCCTCTCTGGCCTCGTGCCGCCAGTGGACAGGTGCTGACGGGAGCGGCGAGCGGTGAGCGCTGCTTGCTTTAAACCGCATCTGATTAGCAGCAAAAAGACCCCAAACCCTTTGCGAGGGGACCTAAGTTAGGAGGGTCAATAACATTAGGGACAAGGGATCTTTTCTGCACTTGTATCGAACCAAACCACTCCGAATCGTCCCTAATGCAAAGGCCGGGACCTCAGTGAAGCTACGTCTTCATCGTGCTATTAGAGGTAGGGGTTCTTTTATCCTCGGTGGATATCGGAAGGCGCGTGGTTATCCAGCACCGGGCCCGAACTTAAGCTTATTGTTTTCGGGCCTCGATCAACCATAGTGAAAGTCTCGACATCGCTCACGTGATCAACAAGACCGTTGAGGTATCTGCCGTCGGGCGCTGTGCAAACTGGGTCAACACTAGCACTGGTTAAGATGTGACATGGGCACTGGGTGAAAGTGCGCAGAAGCTATCAGGATCAAGCCCGAGCTTGCATGAGTGCGCAGGGGTGAGCAGAAGCTCGCAAGCATGGGCAGAATTTGCAGACCTTCGGCCTCAAAAAACCAGTGCCCAAAATCAATCGGCAACACGGCCCGCCAATATGAAACCGGCACTACCGTGTTCCGAGAGTCCTGAGTTGGGCTCCAGGAGGTCGCCCTGACTCTCGTGCCTCTCCCATCAGGTCGAGCATGTCCCCCTACAGGCAGATTCTGACAGAACAATTACCCTGGCGACGTACCCAACCCCTGCGCAAAAGCGGGGCGCAAATAGTTTAGGATACTTTATAAGGGGGCGATGACGGAGCGAGGGTTACATATGTCTGCAGACGGAATTCGGGAGACTCGCAGGACACTGGCTACAGGAAAAGGGCTTGATAAAGCTGATGATTTACAATTCCTGAGCACTCCTAGCCACTTCGAAAACGGGGATCACAGCAGGCCTCGAAAGTGGCGACAGGTTCACAGATCGCAGCCCCGCAGGGATGGCGAGGTCTCATTTGAATCTGCCCGTGGCCCTCACTGTGCTGGGCCCCCCAGCAGGCCTCGAAAATGGCGGCAGTTTCGCAGATCGCAGCCCCCCAGGGATGGCGAGGTCTAATTTGAATCCGCGCGTGGCCCTCACTGTGCTGGGCCCCCCAGCAGGCCTCGAAAATGGCGACAGTTTCGCAGATCGCAGCCCCCCAGGGATGGCGAGGTCTAATTTGAATCTGCGCGTGGCCCTCACTGTGCTGGGCCCCCCAGCAGGCCTCGAAAATGGCGACAGTTTCGCAGATCGCAGCCCCCCAGGGATGGCGAGGTCTAATTTGGGTCCGCCCGTGGCCCTCACTGTGCTGGGCCCCCCAGCAGGCCTCGAAAGTGGCGACAGTTTCGCAGATCGCAGCCCCCCAGGGATGGCGAGGTCTAATTTGAATCCGCGCGTGGCCCTCACTGTGCTGGGCCCCCCAGCAGGCCTCGAAAATGGCGACAGTTTCGCAGATCGCAGCCCCCCAGGGATGGCGAGGTCTAATTTGAATCCGCGCGTGGCCCTCACTGTGC